TATTTATTTTTATTTATTTATTTTTTTGTTTGTGTCAAACTGAGAGATATTTTCTTAGCTTTGGATTTGACATATCTTTTATAGGGCCACAATTTTGCTCATTGACCTTTAAAAAACAAATACTAAGTTCTACGTAAATTAATCAAAGAAAATGTAATAAAATAAATATAACAATAACAACGTACACAATATATTTATTTTAACTATGATTAATTACTAAATCTAGTAGTTAAGACATATTGCTTATGATGACATATTGATGATGATATATTGGATTTTGTTCATTTTTCGTGGTTCTGCTCTGAGTAATCCCCATTTGAAGAGTACCAACATATAACTAAACTCGACTCATAGATAATACCATAACAAACATAAGTTGACTGCCACTCAATAACTCTAAAGCCTCTATGCTGAGTTAATTTATCTTTTTGCTCTCTCCAGAACTGGTGCTCCAAGTATAGCCATCGCCGGGCAACTCGCTCCTTATCAATGGCGATAGCCAGGCAATGTGCATGCGCTGGCCAAAGACACTTCGCAGATTCGCGTAGAGTCCATTATTGTATTTGTGCTGCTTGCCACTCTCCGCACAGACCTCGCCGCGCAGCACGATGGGCACATGGTAGACGAGGATCACAACCGAATAGAGCAGCGCCAAGATGTTCAGGCTATAGAAGAGTAGCTGCAAGTTGGTCCAGAAGCTGCCAATGACCAGCATAAACATGGGGCAGGCCACCTTGAGGGCCGTTAGCCAGTTGCAGTAGACATCTGCATTGAGTATCCACATGAACACCGAGTTGTAGGACAGAGCATAGACCGAACCGATAAACAAATACAAGGTGAAGAGCATAAAGTAGCGATGATTCTCGTGCCCGATGCAGCAGCCCGTGAAGAGACAGTGGTGATCGCGCTTCAGTATGCACACGCCGCACACCTTGCAGTGCCACGATCTGGGAGGTGCTAAACGATCGCAGGTCGTGCAATGCCGCCACTCCAAACGAGCTGCGTCGCCTTCTGGTGGCGCTTTGACCCGCTCTACAAATAGAGAGAGAGAGAGAGATAGAGAGAGAGAGAGAGAGAGAGTGATAGTGAGAGCCAGCAATTTTGTTTGTAATTAAAATACTCACGATCAACGCTCGTGTCGATCATCATGCAAGCCAGCATGTTGCCCTTTATATTGAAGAGCAGAAACATGGCCATGAGGAATGTGAAGGTGTGCAGAAATCCGCCGGGCTCGTGTATTGCGGGCAGCACTACGATGATCTCAAATATGAAAACAATGGGCAGAAATACTCCAATCACCAGGTAGCACAAAATATCCACCAGCCGCCGGGGCAGGGGATTCCGTCTCACTCTCATTGCGACTAAACTCGCCTGGAGCAACTGATCGACTGCTGTGCGTAGAGCGAAGCTTCTTCTTCTGCCGGCCTCTCCCAACCGGTTGGCGATCACGTGCGGAAGCTTTTTAGCTTTGCGCGCAGAGCTTTCTTATCAGCGAGCCATAGCATTAGACTTCCACAACAATTCAGATACATTTGTAGCACACGCATGTGAATTTGTGCTGCATTTACACACCTTATAGAGTGACTAGATACTTGTTGCGTCATTAGTAGGCCAAGAGATACGAATTTGTTTAACGAAAGAGTTAAAGTTTTGTTTGCTTGAGAGAGAGAGAGAGAGAGAGAGAGAGAGAGAGAGGGGAGAAGGAGAGAGGGAATATCGATTACAATTCTTTATCTTATCGAACTATGTGCAGGTGCATGCTTATTTATAGCTATATATGCTCGTATTAACAAGCTTGATATGTGTTGATATGCACAGCTCTGAATCGCTTCAACATCTATTTTTGTGTAAGCTGCACAAGTTAGACTATTATATACCCTGTAACTCGAATCATGTAATTTTCTCAGCAGATGAATAATGAATACATTGTAAGATGGAGAATATATTGTATATATAATATTCTCTCTTTCTTCTTGTCAGCTCTTCCTTTAGTCTAAGCTATAAATAATAAATATCCAAGAAGTAAAATATTTCTGATAAGAATGAATACTCAAAAAATTTAATCGATTTAGTTAAATGTGTAGAAATAGGGGAAAAGAGAGAGAGGCAAAGAAAGAGAGAGTCATAACTTGAAAAGAAATGAAAAGTGATGTAAAAAAAGGCATTATTATTTTTTTGCGAACACTACAATATAAATACTTCTTTTAATTCATGAGAAGCGCATAGAAGCGGCATCAGCAAAATTTTTTGATTGGTCACCTAAATTATTTTGACAAAATTCATACTAAGATATTTTACATTGAAGACAGTCAAAAATATATAATTTCAGGGTTGGTCAATGTACATAAGCCATATCAGTATCATATATTTATATATTTATTTATACACACCCATTAACTATTTCGAGCAACACAAATGCAGTGCATGAAATTTGCAGTAATTAATACATAAGTGATTTGAGTGAAATGCGTATTGAATATTTTATTAGCGGCTTAAGCGAGCGTAACTGAAACCACAGAAACCAATCAGGGCAATTGCCTCAAATGATGGAATCAATAAAAGGCTTTAATTATTATTCATGGAGATACCTTTAAGTAATTACCTGGCTTAATCGCTCAATGTCCAGCAAGTGCCTGGCTATAAGTAGCTGAGAGCTGTGGACAGACTTTATATAGTCCACACTGGTCGCAATGGAGGCCAAGCAGAAAAGTCGGAAAAGTTGCGCGCTCTTGCAGCATAGTTTTAAGAAAAGTTTGAAAGTGTTTCTGAAGGAAACCGGATTGCATGGACTGAAATTTGTGGGCGACTCGGAGCTGAACATCTGGGAGAGGCAAGCATCGGTAGCTGGTTTAAATCTGATATTATTGCTAAGGACAAATTGCAGGTCCTTTTTCCTGATTGCCTTTGTGGCTGCCCTCGCGATGACCTGCCAGCTGATCTCGAACATCTATGCCAAGTGGGTTAGCACGCCCGTCATCATCGGCATCAGTCCACATGCCACGTCCATACGGAAGGTGCCCTTTCCGGCTGTCACCGTCTGCAACATGAATCAGTTTCAGCGCAGCAAGGTCTTGCAATACAGAGAGTAAGTCTATATATATRGAGAGAGAGAGATACATATATCTGAGGTCTAGCTGATTGGCAACTGCAACAGGGGCTCGCCTGAGTACGATGTCATGAAGGTCCTTTGCAATCCACGCTCGGAGCGGGTCTACCACAGCACTGAGGCAGACAACAGGGCCTGGGACACGACTGTCAACAGCAGCAACACCTTGAAGATCACCGACTTTGTCAAGAATCATTCCCAGCCCTGCCACCAGATGCTGCGATACTGCCGATTCAATGGACATGTAGCGCCCTGCGCCGAAATATTCCGTCTTATCCTCACTGATGAGGGCCTGTGCTGTGTCTTTAACTTTCTGCCCGCTCACTTTATATACAAATCGCAGTAAGTGAGGAGAGTTCGAATTCTCTATTTTACCTCTAACTTTTTGTCTTAGGCAAGTTGAGTCAATGAGCGATATTGAAGCACTTGGATATCAGCCTGTGCCTTGGAATCCCGAAGCTGGGTATCCCGCGAAACTGCCCAAACACCACTATCCACTGCCGGGAGCTGGTATATGCTTAAAATATATATATATCAGAATTATATTATAGTTAGTATTTGCTTGAATCCCTTTATTCATTATCAGGCACGGGCATTACAATGGGCTTTACTCTGGTTCTGGATGCGCAGCTGAGCGAATATTACTGCTCGTCGACGAATGGACCTGGTTTTAAGGTTTGTATATGGCAAATATTATCATTATCATTATTATAATGTATTTACTACTTACCCAAACTTCTTGAAGTTTTCTTACTATTCATAAATATCCATTAAAAACCATTAATTTCATTTAATATTTCTTATAAATATATTTTAAATATCAATATTATCAGATCAAATTTCATTTAAATTATATAGAAAATGAATTCAAATAAATTATTTATCATATAGGTCTCCATGAGCTTTTTAAATTTTATTTACATGGACAAAGTTTCTCATAGATAACATGGATATATTACAAAGTTCTCACACATTTTGCAGGTCCTGTTCCATAATCCCATTACAACGCCCAATGTCAAGGAGGAGGGCCTTGTGCTGGGCATTGGCTATGAGACGGCTGATTCGCTGTATTTCCCACTGGCCAAGCGGGACTTCAAGCTGGCCAATAGGGTCGTGGCTAGCATGAACAAAAGCTATCTGCTGGATAATATTGCCGTCATGAATTTATACTATCGCGAATCGGCCTACTATGGCAGCATGAAAAATGTCTACATTGGCTTCACGGAGTTCTTGTGTAAGCCGTACATATACATATAAAGCTCTCTCTTTACATTCATAAAATATTTCCCGGCAGCTAACATTGGCGGTGTCATGGGCCTCTTTATGGGCTTCAGCGTTATCTCCATAGCTGAAATGCTTTACTTCTTGGTATTGAAACCCCTATCGGAGCTTATAGCGTGGAAATACGGCAGCAAGAAGCTACACAAAATTGAGCGAACTCCCTCTAAACAGCAGCTGAAACAAGATAATCTAGTATGGCATACAAAGGAGCTGCATCCGAAGGGCATGTCTTCAAACAAAATGCAGCCACGCGGCAAAAATGCAAAAATACTTTTAGTTAAAGATAAATATAAGTACTAAGAGTGCTCTGGGTGACGACTGAGTGAAGATCTACAATTGAGTCCATGAGTTTAAAGCTTTAAATTTAACTAGAAATGTTCGACTCTTAGGCAAGAGTCAACTACATATCATATATGCTTTTATGGCTCTACAGTGCCTGCTAAGTGTTTACCTTATGCGCATATTTGATAAAGGCCTGAATACTATATATATAGAGTAGAGTCCAGCCGAGCAACAAGCGCTTGGTCATTCATCTATTTAATATTAAATAATGCACCACAATTACACTTCAAGTTATTGTCGCAGCTGTGAGGGGGGCCAAGGGAACAACAAAGACTTGAATGTCATGCAGAGGGTCCCTCAGTTCCGAGTGTAATGTAATCGAAATGGTTAAATATGCAAATATTAATTATGTGAAGTTTTACAAAGTCCGGATACTTAAAGCACCCACTGTACAGTGTGAGCCATCTTCGGGCATTCTAGACTAGTAAAACTAAATCACTTTCTAAATTATGGGTTTGGCAGCAGATGCTCGCAGCCCGAATGCTGCTTGCAATTAAGAGTGTCCTTATTAAAAAGAAGTGCGGAAATAGAAGCGAGTCCTTTGGCCAAAATAATGTACAGTTGTAGTGGCTCGCCGTTGTGCTGCTGTGGCTATTATTATTATTTTATTATATTTKATGCCAATATAAGCGCATTTTGCGTAATTGCTTTCACTAGATGTGCTCACAGTGCCCGCCAACAGTACGTGTACTGTTGTACCTATGTATCTGCGTGGCGCTTTAACTTGCCCTTGGAGCTGTGCTGTCTTGTCCTGCGCTGCACAACACTCGAGCGCAGCAGCACTCTTATGGCTTGCCATTGTGCCACCAGCAGCACGGCCACTCTGTCAGAGTCGAGAAACTGGGCTAACGCTCGAGTACGGACGGCTCTTCCCTAGGCCAGAGCCTCTAGAAGACCTGGCATACTTATGCCTCAACGGTAATTGCTGACCCACACACAAAGTGACTAATTTTGTTCAGACACACATAAGTGCATACAGGAAAATATACATTTAATTTGAGGGCTGCTCGATGAGTACTGGGAGTTGATGGAAATATGTATATCAAAATAAAAGGTTGATCAAGCAAGGGTGATACTATTTTGGGTAGCTATAAAAACAGCTATTTAATTATCTAATATAAAATTGTTGATTGCAGTTCAATTACACTTTATTTTACTTTTATTTTTAAGACTTTATTTATATGTAGTAATATATAAATATTTAAAATATTTATGAATACAATTCGGGAGCAACTACAACTATATTCTAATTATAAACCTATATTGGTATAAATTATCATACAAGATACATATTTATTAAGACTAGCATTGCAAATTTTTAATATTATGATTTTCTCCTAAATGTATATAAATATACATATATATACATACATATATAAAT